AACGGAGTGCCATTGAGTATACAATTTATCTTCATGGATCGGATGGGGACTACACAGTATGTACTCATTCGCTGAAACTGTAAACCAAGCAAAAGAAAAAGGGGTCATCAGTAAATTGGCTGAAACCATTATCCTCCAGGGTTAACCTGATCATCAGGTTCAGACAATTAGTAATATCCAACGCTCAGCAAACGGACAACTGACGAGCGGGAAAACACTTGGACGAGACCTGCATCACATGATTCAAAGGGTTGGAAGTGAAGGTGACCCTTTTGCCATCTCTAGGAAAGGAACGGTGTTGAATACGCGGTGTGCAATCAGAGCCTGACCAGCAAAGTAATCAGGGAGCCTTTTACGTTCGAGTCAACCAATCAGACTATAAAGAGATTATCGAAACTTGATGATAGCGACTTTTCACGCGAACGCGATTCGTTCACTACCGGTCAATGTGTGACTGTCTGGCTAGCAGCCTGGTGTTGGCTACCCACTAGTAAACTACTCCAGACCAGTTGCTCTCTCGGCAGGACTGACTTCATGCCAGCATCCTATTTAATCAAACCATCCCATGAACAACAACTTTCTTCGTGCTCAGACTCAAAGCTACCAGAGTTTAGAGGCTCGGTATCCACCCGACACTTAGCCAGCATTCAGCTAGTATCAAATCGACACTCAATCGTCACGATTACTCGAGGTCTCCATTCAAAAACCAATTGGCAATCAGAAATATTACGTGTCATCAGAGTTCAAACCGCAAGCAGATGAGTTCATGCCACTTCAATCATATACAGTCGTTTGGACGAGGAAAATTATCAGAAAATTGGCAGTAAGGTTGTCGATCACATGAGTGCAGTTCAGTCTTTTCCGGTCAGTGGGTCAGTGTTGACCAGCCTTAATCAGATAGGACTCAAGGAGGCGGCTCAATATCAGTATGTCAGTGCAGTTTGTTTCAGGCAAGGGGATTTGCCAATCTTCGTTGTCGGGGCAAATACCCTGACAAGGGTATTTGCCGGGGGTTTTCAACGTCCGACGTCGTCCGACTTCTGTGTTGAATTGAAGGACTTGATGAGACGACGTTTGCCAAAAGTATATTCAGACCTGACCTATGACTAGCAGACAAAAAATTTTCGAACGTTAGTCCGAATGCGTGTGGCGTCCAGGAGTAACGGATGTGTATGGTAATGCTTCGCTTTTGTCGAAGCCGCAGGAATATGCGGACACGGGAACGGTAAAGCTAAACCTATTCTACCTAAAATATGCGTGTGGCGTCCAGGGCCTAAGGAGGCTAAAAAGAGGGGTGCGCCGGGTATAGGGCTAGCAGTCGCGCGATTCAGGGCCTAAGGAGGCTAAAAAGAGGGGTGCGCCGGGTATAGGGCTGCGACGCCGGGAGGCATAGGAAACAAAATTATTTACCGGGGGCCGTAGGGGTTGACACTGAGCCAGGGGGTTGCCAGGCTGATGCCGAGGTCACGCGGCCTACCAGCGGTGTAAGGCCTGCCGGCAAGGCCTATAGGGCCACAGGCGGGCGGGCAGGCAGGGCCTGCAGGGCCTGCAAGACCACAGGCAAACGGGCAGGGCCTGTGAGGCCATAGGCAGGCGGGGCCTGAAAAGCCCCGGCATGGGGGATAGCGACTGGGCCAACTCTTCATATAGTAGAGATGCTCTATCATTACCGTGATAGGAGCCAGCCCAGTAGGTTACAACATCAGACTTCTGCCCAACAAGTACCATGATCAGATCTGAGAAGCTGCATACATCGCTGGGCTGGCTCCTTTTGGAGCTGGCCGCAGTTTTGTAGTCAGCGCGGTTGGATCTGACCGCCCGATCGTGAAGATCACGCGGCCCAGATCGGCCGTGCGAGATTGCATGGCCCTTGCGCAAGGATGACACGCATAAATCGAAAAATAAAATAAAATCAATCGTTATGTTTCGAATCTGTCGGTATTCGAACTTGAGTCTGCATAGTAAGAACCGTGGCTTTCAGCCACGATGTGATTGTTGGCATAGAGCCAACGGGTATAGTTAGAAAAAAAAAAAAAAAAAAAAGTAAAACTACGAATCAGAGTGCCATGTGGCGCACTGCGAAGTGCCAGGCACTTCTGTTCCTAGTGCGCTGACATCGCCCAAAAAAAACAGGCAACCGTTTCGGCCAGGAGGTAAGTAAATTGTTTTTTTTTTTTTTTTTCCTGTTAGATTTTYTTAGATTTATTTTAGTTTTTTTTTTTTTTTTGTTCGTGATTTTGCTAGGTACCCGGGGTGAGGTCACATTCGCAAAGAGGGATTGGATTGAATGCCTGAATGTGGCCGCGTTTGTGGACAAGTGCAGAAAATCGAGATTGAACTTCATTTCTGCATCTCACATGCGCACATTCAGGATCTCAACCCAATCCCGGTTGCTAGTGGGACCATGCTCCCGTTCGTTTTGACGAACGCGTCATTGCTTGAAAAAAAAAAAAAAAAAAAAAAAAAGATCTAACGTAAGGCGCCAATTGGCGCGATCGGACAGATGGGGACTCACAATCCCCATGGATTGTGACAGGCGCAAGGCCGGGGACCTCACAATTCAACCCGAAGTTATCCCGGCAGCGTCAGACGATTTAGCTTCTGACTCTTCTCAGTTCGAAATCCCACACTCTAACAACTCAACCCACCAATGATCCTAAAAAAAGAAAAAGCCTATCAACTCTTTTTACTCAACCATGCCTCCTAACTGTTCCTACCCTATTCCTAACTACCACTATCTAATCCTGAGGGGTACCAGGCTTAATGCAGCCTGACCTTGGCCTAAAAACAACCGAGAGGAAACAATAGGAGTTCCTACCCCTAACGATCCTGGACGCTCTCTCTCCTCCACCAATGCGGTCTACTGTGACCACCGACTGGAACCGAGTGTCCCTGGTTCATCCTACCCTCCAACCAACCCTTATCCTAAAACTAATTGCTTCCTTCCCAACCTATCCCTCTTTCCATCCATTACGAGCTTAACCATGGGGACAAAACCAGCTTTCCTTCCAGTGTTATGGCCGCCAATCTGCATCCTCTGGCCCATGTGAACAAAAACCATTCCCGACCTCTCTGGGAGCTTCCCTTGTCTGCTTTCCAGACCCAGTCCGCCAAGATCATCAATCGGATAGTTGCTTTCACCTTTGCCTTGATCCTGTCATCGGCTGTCCACTCCCCCCTGAAGACCACATTATTTCGATCTTCCTAAATAATCCACATCACTGCCGAACGACATGCTTGGGCCACATATCCCCACCCCTTATGCCTGTGGAACAGGGGGGTAAGTTGGCTTGTGAGAACCCATTCCCGATCCCAAGCCAATAATGGACCAATTCCTTGCCAGTGGGTCTTCCACCACTTCCATATCCGCAGGGAGGCCGGACATTCCCATACAAGATGTAGCAAAGACTCCTCTTGTTTATGGCCACAGCGGGCGCAGGTGGCTGCAATATCCATGCCTTTCTCTGTTAACCATTTCGCTGTTGGAATTGCAGAGTGCGAGAGTAGCCAAAGGAGGCCAGCCAACTTCAGACTTGGCAGCTGCAGCAGTTGTGCCCATACCATCTTGGCCGATGCCGAGGATATCATGTTGGGGAGGTCCATCCTCTCACAGACCTCTGGGATATGAGTATCCGGAGGCCTGAGCCTCCTGCAGCCGACCTTGGCATTGTACTGTGAGAGAAACACCCTGTGGCCGGGTTGGCTCTCCCAAGTGCATGTTGCTGGATCCAAACGGAGATCCCCTATTGCTGCTCCTCCTTGGATAAGAGCAAACCCTTTTCGCCTATTTATGCCTGAGGACAGCATGACCCTTACCGCTGTCAACTTTTGATCCTCCCTGATCGAGGTTTCTGAGAGGCGGATTAATTTATGTTCTCCCCCCAAGTTTTGTTCCGCCACCCATCTTGAAACACACCACTCCCCCTCCCCCTTATCCTCTTCAATTCTCATAATGGTTTCCTGCTGGTGGGGGGGTTCCTGAGTTTTGTACCAGTTCCCCACCTCCCATTTTGGACAATCTTTCAGCTTCTCCTTCCATTCCCCCGGAATGGCATTCACCAACGCCGCTAGCCTTTCTGCTACGACCTGCAGTCTCCGCAATGTCAACCTGAGGGTCTCTTCCGTCTTCCATTCCCGGATGTCCTCCGACCAGATATCTGAAATTCTTGAGATACCTTTTTGGATCCACTTGTGTCCAAAATTTCCTGGGCGAGAAGATGCTGAAAAAAAAAACATTGGCTGTCTTCGTTCAGGATCCTTTGATTGTCGAACAAAGGCTGGCAGGTGATTTCTTCCCTTGAATTAGGATTCACATGGAACGCAGGTCTGAGTTTTTTCCAGGCAATCCACCAAGCCAGGCCCAAAGCTGATTTTGGGCGACGGTTCAGGTATGCCGGATTTTGCAAACAGACCCACACATCTGAGATCCGTTTCAACTTAAATTCGTGTTGAAGGATGTACTGCATGATCTCCAGCCAATTTCTATCCTCAGTCTGCACCCCTGCCTTCATCATCCATTTGCCCAACAGGGCCACATTCTGGCATGCTGGGTCCACAATCCCTAGACCCCCTTCCGATCTTGATTGTGTAACTTTCTCCCATAACACTTTAGAGACTACGCCCTTCTGGTCTTCTGCCTCTGGTTTCCATAAATATCGGGTAGCCAATGTTCTGATTCTCTGCAGGGTGGCCCTTGAAATAAGGACTACTGCTGCAATGTGCCAGATAAGAGAGGAAGTGTTTGGTGAACCAAAAATGATTTTGCCTAAACAAATAAAAAGGATATGCAAAAATAAACTAGTTTGGACTGAATTAACACAAATATGGCGAAGTGACAATAATCGAAGAATTGATGACTGTGGCCCTCCCCAACAATGAAATCCCTGTGGCTGCTTTGCATCTGTTTACCCGTGACTCTATCTTGGCTGCTAGAATAGCGTCCTGTGCAGGTTTGCTGGTGCCGAGTGACACCTGTAGTCCAAGATATCGTTCGGATTCTTCAGTGCCCACCCTTTTCATTGACCAGTCGTTCTCCAGTTCGTAGTTCTAAGGTAAGAAGTAGACCGATTTATCCCAGTTCACCTGTGCTTCCGACATTGTCGAGTACTGATCCAGGATTTGTTTTGCGGCATCCATAGACTCAGAGGTAGCTTCGGTGATTAACAAAATATCATCCGCAATGGCTCCAGTAGTTACCACCTTGTCCATTCTCAGCTGAAGACCCCGTATTCTCGGAGATGCCCTGATTGCGTTGAGAGTTACCTCCATCTGCACCACAAAGAGGAGGGGTGCTAACAGACACCCTTGTCGCAAGGAACGTGACAAATGAAAGTTATTCGATCTACTGCCGTTAATCAGGACTGTCGCGGTGGAGGATTGGTACATCACTGCCACCCATTTCCTGAAGCACTCACCAAAATTCATGTGCTCTAGGGTGGCCAAAACAAATGACCAATTAACCCGGTCATATGTTTTTTCCAAATCTAACATCGCCACCACCACCTGTCTGTCCTCCCTGCTAATTATTTCCAACGCTCCCATGGCAACCAGAATGTTCTCTGCAATCGATCTCCCTTTGACGAAGGCCCCCTGGTCCGCTTTCACCATCTCAGGAAGATGATTAGCTAATCTCCTTGCCAGAGCTTTCGCCAAAATCTTATATGAAACATTAAGTAAAGAGATTGGACGCCAATTTCTTACATTTTGCTTGCCCCCTTTCTTATAGAGCAGAGTGATAACGCCTCTGCACATGTCCTCCGTTAGCGCCTCGCCTTCCAGCACCCTATTGTACAAGCGCAGCTGAATCAGGCCCACGGTTTCCCATGTGGCTGCATAGAACTCCACTGGTAATCCATCGTCCCCTGACGCCTTCCCTCTTGCCATGCTTGTCGTTGCTGCCTTTAACTCCTCTAGTGTCAGTGGTCGATCCAATGATATCCTTTCGTGTTGGGCCAGCCTCTTATCCGTGAACTGCCATAGGTCCTCCTCTGACTGCAACTCCTCTAACGTCTGATTCGCTGGCCGCCTGGACGTCAGGATGTCACTGTAGTACGTAGCTGCGTAAACTGCCATTGACTCAGTGTCTTCTGCCAGATCGGCTTGAGAGTTAAATGGATGCAACAGGGCCCGGATTACTCCGTTTTGACGTGCTGGACACAGTCTCCGAAAAGTCTCTTTCGACATTCGGTCCATCTGGGTCATCCCTCTCTCCCTAGCTCTTTTCGCCCACTCCTCCTGTTGCTCAACCTGCAATATCTCCCATTTGTTCATCCACACATCTCTCCTTCTTTCCCAGTATAGGTCCGTTATAGGATCCCGACCTATATTGTCCTCTGCTTCCTTCACCATTTCTCTACACTCATCCTCCTCCTGGTTTCTTTCTCTCGTCAGAATACGGGAGAATACATCCAACGCTCTTGTCACCATTCTGAACCCCACCTGCGCCCACTCCTCTTCCTTTTCAAACCAGCCTTTGGTCTGTTCCCAGTCTATCCAGTATTTTGCACACCACTCTAGTACCCCAGGGTTCTTCAGATGCTCTGAATTCAATCTGAAGAAACCTGTTTTCCTCTTGGATTCGGCATTCAATCTCAAGTCCATTACCACTGGCCAGTGGTCCGATAATGGGTCTGGCACCACCTCTGTTTGAATTGCCGCTTCCCAAGCTTCGCCTTTTGCCAGAATCAGATCCAAGCGTCTTTGTGGTGGCGGGGGCACATTCAGATCATCTGATCTTTGCACAGAATGCCACGTATATCCTGGGCAGTCTAGGTTCATTCGCCGGAAGGTGTCTGTAAGCTCATACGCCTCTATAAAGCACGAGAGCTGCCTCGCATCAGCCTTAACCGGTTCGACCGCAGGTGAGTCCACGCCTGGTTGCAGGACTGTATTAAAGTCCCCTGCTAAAACCAGGTTATCCCCTGTTGGAATGATGTTCCGGAGGTCTGAAAAGAAGGACCTTCGTTCTCCCGGCACAGACGGTGCATAAATAGACATAAAAGTTCAAACTTGGTCTGCCATTCTTACCTTCACCCATACCCACTGGCCCCAGATGTCTGACTCTGTTTCCAACACCTCGACTTCTAGGGCCCTGTGTACGAGGATGGCAGTCCCGCCCTTTGTACCATCCGCCGGGGCCCACCACTGTGGGCCTTTCCACCACTTCGAAATTTTCTCAATCTTAGGCTCGTCCAACTTTGACTCCTGTAGCAGAACCACTTGAACTCTATGCCTGTGAATCCATGATTTAAGGCGTGCTTTCTTCCTTCTTGTAGATGTATCTCCCAACCCCCGCACGTTCCAAGTAGCGACCCGCAGCTTATCCATTAGAAGTCTTCAAAGCGGAATTTTGTTGGATCCGCTGTTCTTCCATGGAGTTCCTGCTTCCTTTTCTTCTTCTCCCTACTGCAGTTCCTGCTGCATTCCCTTCCCCGTTCATGTTTGCATCCCAGGGGGATAGAAAAAGGTTCCTGAAAGCTGGTGCCCAGGGTTGTTTATCAGAGGGCAGAGAGGCGCAGAAGTCAGCTACCAATTTCACATTTACGTCCTCAGTGATCTGAATCTTCGGCGCCTCAGCGGACACTTCTGAATCAAACCACTGGGCGGGAACCCACTGTAGCCCCTGGGCTTCCAACGAGGCAACAATTTCCTGCGTAATTTTTGTGTCAACCACTGCCAGGTGGAACTGAAGCTGGGGACCGTCCGCGATGTTTACTGTCTTTCTGCCTATCCGGACTCCTGGCACTAACCTGAAACGGAAACGGCCAGCACAGAACTTGGCTGTAGCTGCACATATCCCCGCTTTGGTATTAGGAACCCCAGCCACCTTGACCGACGGGAGCGAGAAGGCATCACCCCTGGATTTCCCCACCATAATTTTAACTCCTTGGGGTGCTAGGGAGGAACAGATCAGTACTAAAAAATGAACCGTACTATGTTTTGTCTGTCCAGTGCAAACTGTAGCAGGTTGTTTACCTGTCTGACTGTTTGCCCTAACAAGGGCAGTATGGCCACCCTGTCTGTCGGACCCTTGTCCTTGTGGTGAGGCAATGTCAATTGACTCTACCTCCCCTTCCTCTTCCTCTCTTGTCGGTTCACTAGTGCCTTCTTCTCCTAATCGTCTCAGTTTCACCGGGGCCAAGTGCGTTTGCCGATTTCCCGGATCACGCATTATGTGGTCCCTAGGGAGTTCCAAAGCATTGTCGCTCACCTGCAGTCCCGTAGGGGTTGGAAGCTGTACCTGCATCGCCTGTGTTGTCTGTATGTGATTCAAGTTGATCGCTCCCCCTGTTCCTGTGTGACTTAACGGATCCTCTATCCCATATTCCGAATGAATATGAACAATCACGAATGAACTATGAGAGTGTCCCTGGTCCCTGATCCCCAGAACTTCCGTACCCTGCTCGGGTGCCGCCAAACTGTGTGAGTTTTGAGTACCTACCCTCCCTGGGTCTTGTGTCCCAGGTTGAGCAAAGCGGAGGGATAAACCCTAATCGGATTGCTGTGTACTCCGTAGAGGCTCAGGCCATGGTAACAGACGCATCTGTCCCGAGGGGCCTGTAGAAGGCACCCAAGGGTCCCAACTAGCGTTCTCCCTCTGCTGCTGCTGGAGAGCCGGGTTGGGTTGCCACGTACCACGTGGGGGGAGTTGAGCTGCAGCTTCTTGTGAAGCTTGCGGGAGGTTTGTCCCGAAGGAAGACTCTCGAAGAATTCCCTGTTGAGCACTTTGAGCAGCGAAGGGGGGGGGGGGTAAGAACGAGAAGGAGGCTGGAATGGAATTCCCTGCCTGACCAAATACAAGTGGACGAGCCACTTGCATTGATGGGGGTGTAGAGAGTGACGGGGAGGGGATTATGGTCGTACTATTATTCAACGCTTGTCCTCCTATAGCCATCCCCGGATGGGGGGGCATTCCCCCCATGTAAAGAGAGGGAGATCTCCAGTCCTGAGGGAAGGGGTGGGATGGCCTGTTGCCCGGCAGGGGGGGGGGGGGGGGCTGCCAATGCAGCACCTGGGGGGGGGGGGGGGGGGGGGGGGGGGGGCTTGAGAATAAACTACGAGGGCCTCCGTTGCATGTGGTTGAGTTATAGGAGGCTGAGGACCTCTGTTTTGACTTCCCCGCCCTCTGGGCTCTTCTACATACGGCTGCCCTCCTGTTGCCCCGAAGCCTCCTCTTCTGCCCTGATATCCTTCAGTAGCATGCACATTTCCGTTGACTAACCTTCCTTCACCGCCCCTACCTCTGTCGTACAAGTTTCCCCCGTTCCTTCCACCTCCCGCCTGGGTCTCTGACCCTCCTCCTCTACCGTCACCGTTGTTCCCCACCACCCCATTTCGGCCACTCTCTTCCCTTCCCCTATTACTCCCTTCTTCCCCACTTCTACCTCTTCCCTCGCCAGAGGTTCCTCCTCTACCCCTTTCCTCCCCCCCTGTTGCTCCGCCTCTGTTAGTTCTTCCATTCCCGGGTAGCCCCCTACCATTGCCTCTAGGACCTCCTCTCCCCATGCCTCCTCCTCTCTGCCTCTGTCTCTTCTCCCTCGACCTCTTCCTCCTCTCCCTTCCAGCATTGGTTCGTTAAATCTTGGACACTCAGGATTGAATTCATCATGATACCACCACAAACATTTGTTGCAGAATGGTGTATCTTGATTTGCAAACTGTACTTCCAAAAACCCTCCACCTGGCTTTCTCACCACCACCCACTCCATGAATCTGTCTTTTACCTCAGGGGCGCAATCAATTCGAACATTCCCTAGCCTAGGTTCTTCTGCTCTCTTCTCAGGGGGGTGCATAATCAACACTTTCCCCATAAATTTCTCAATTGCAAATTTGAGGGGGAAGAGAGCCTCGAGGGGAACCCTAAGCGCAATGATCCTGAATTTCCTTGCCATTTCATTGTCACGCATGGTTTCCAATTCCTGTTTGGTCATCCATGGCTTGAACTTGACTTTGACCGACCCAGAACGTGTCGGAATTCTATCCTCGCCTTTCATAACCATCCATTCGGCGATTCTCTCCGACCTGGCAACGTATGACGTGACATTAGGACCTTCGCCATGAGTTCTCCCTCGTTTCTGGGAGGGATTAACTGTCGCGTCAAGATACCAAGCATCTTCGTATACACGGATCAGCTGCTCCCTTTGAGCTACACTTAGTGACATCGCTGGTTCGTCAAAGAGGACAATTACAGTTCTAGCTTTAAGCCAGTTTACCGTGGCTGTATCAATATCATCATTAAGAGTCAATATCCCGACTCCATCCACAATTTCGGTCATACCAAAGTCAATATTTGTTTCAGGGAAAATCCCATCATCAAAACAGAGGTCAAGGAGAGACTTAATCCTAGCCGCTTCATCGTTTCCCACCAGTGAATTCGAATTCGAGCCTCCACCACCCTGGCCTCCCTGAGGGGGGGGTAGGGGAAGAGGTGAATTCATCATGCCCAATTCCAATCACATTAACTTCCACAGAGACAGGAGAGCCAACAATTCCGGACGTTCCTCTACCAGCTCCAACTAATCCAAATCTGTTACCCTAGTGCCCTGACAATAGGTTTAACTAAAACTACACTCTGGCCGTTGACTCTTCGTCTATGTCAGCAAGTCGTCGTTGTTCGCACTTACCTTCTTCTGGAGTACCAGTAGACGGCTGGCCCCGATTTTCCATGCACCCAACATAGGGTACCTTCATTGGCTATTTGTGACTGGAAGACTTCCAAAATGAATCTTCGGAGATAGCTCCCGCATCAGGGACGTGAGCGCTGACGCGCCACGTCTATTCCACATATTCAACATTTGAAGGTAAATGCCATAAGATCCCGACCCCTACTCCGCCTCCATTCCTCCTCCTCCCCTGCAGGAGTTTGAACCTGGCCATATCCGGGAAGGCTTCGACAGATTCCACCGAGCATAGGCCTCACGCCTGCTACGGCGTTAGTGACACCGGTTCACCCGAACCGATACCGCATCGCGGAGCGCTCCTGCGCCCGTCGCTACGCCCGTCCCCCGTCTGTCTCGGTTGCCATTTTCGTTCTCTGTTTTTTCTTTTCCTTTTTTTTTCTTTAGATCTTCTTGTTAGATTTGCTTTATATATTTTTTTTTATTGTTAAAAAATTAGTAATGCCCGTTCGTTTTGACGAACGGGCTGCCTCTCCCTTTGATGGGAGGGGCAAAATCGAATGAACTTGCCGCGGAAACGCGGCCATATTCGGGTGCGGGGCTTAGGCCCTTGTACTTTAGTTACGAGGGACTCTCTGCATATGCCTTCGGTGGTTCCCTCTTTGCAGAGGGCAGTCGCGATTGTCGGAAAAGGAGAGAGAGGGGTCATGGGTCGTGCGCCTGTATCGGGTGCCTGTATCCGGGCCGCAGGCAGGGGGAGACAAACCCCTGTTGAGCTTGACTCTAGTTGACTCTGTGAAATGACTTGGGGGGGGGTGGCCGTTCGTTTCGAACGGCGAGTTGCCCTCTAACAAGGAAAACCAGGGGGTAAAAAGAGAAAAAAAAGGAGTAAGGAAGGGGGGAGAAAAAGAAAGTAACGGCCATGAACGTGGCCGCGGGCGTAGAACAGGTGGAGCCCCTAGAAGCTTCTAGGGGCTGATGGGACTGCGCCTGTTCGGTTTGGACAGGCTGCAGTAAATGGCTGCATACAACCATTTCCAGAAGCATCTGGCCTAGGGAAGCGGCCAGATACTTCTGGGGATTAAAGACCCTGGTTCCCCTAAAGGGAAACCAAGGCATAGGGCTCCTGGCCATCGATTTAGATCAAGGGTCAGGAACTCTTACGAATTTTGCCTGGCTGTGGGCAGGGCAGCTGCCCACAGCCATCAACTGGCTATAAAAGCCAGCACTCCACCCAGCAGCCTCACACTTGTGGCAGTGCTGCTGGGGCATTCACTTGAGTGAATGCTGGTTGGCTGCTGCATGTTGCTGGAGAAGGGCGGTGCTGCCGGTGGAGGTGCTGAGGTGGAAAGTGGAGGTCTGCAGGTTGGAGGTGAGGCTGCCATAGCCGCCATGCTGCGGGGTGCCAGCAGGAGGTGTTGCTGTTTGCGGCAGGGTTATTCGACAAGCGGTGCAGGGGAAACTCTGCCCGTTTTGCACGGCGGCGGCAGTGTATTTTTGTCAGTACTGTGAAAGCGCTGCCAAAATCTTACGGCGGCTGAGCAGGTTTTAACGGCGGTGCTGCGGAAGCGCTGCCGAAATTTTGTTGCGGCTGCATAGGTTTTAACGGCAGTGGTGCGGAAGTGCCGCTGTTTGTTTTTGGCACGACGACAGCGACATTGTCAGTGAGGAAGTGCTGCCGTTCTTGGTACAGCGGCAGCGACGTTGTGAAGGGGAAGTGTCGTGTGATCAGTGTGGCGGCGTCAACGGTTTGGAAGGTTGTTGGGGAGGTGCTTTCCGCGCGACGCGGCGACGATGGTAGTGCGGGAGCGCTGCCAAAATTCTGCGGCGACGACATTGGGTTGAACGGCAGTGGTGCGAAAGCATTGCTGGATGTTTATGGTGGTGCGCGACAGCTATTGTGGAACTTAAAGGTTGGGCCAACACTGGTGCACGTTTGGGATTGTGCGGTAGTGGTGCGTGGGCCGGTGACATGAGGAGGACGCGGAGTGAGTGCTCGCGGCAGTGACTATTGGAGTTGCAGCGGTTGCGGTTTGCGCCAGGAAGGACATCCTTATTTCTGGGAGGCTCGCGCCACGCGCAGTTTCAACCAGGGGCACCTTTATTTTTTTGACGGCACGCAACGCAAGCGGGATTTGAGAGTGGGACCATCCAGTGCTGTGGCGTTAACATGGGGACCGTCTGGGACCATTTTGGGACCAGGTGGGACTAATTTTGAAGATCGGAACCGACATATTGGGGTGGCTATTGTGAGCGTACGTAGTACCTGGAGAAGGCGTGGACTTGCAATTGGTTGTGAGTGTCCTTGGTAAGGGAAGTACAGTTGGGACTGTTGGGACCACGTGGGACTCATTGTTGGGAACACCCTCCTGGAGGGTTATCTCGCTTGAGTTTTTCAGTGGATGTGACTTTCGCTCATTTTTGCCCTTGGAGAGTAAGGTGGCCGTCATTCAGTGCAACGACCACGAGTCGTGGAGTTGTGAGCTGCATATTTCTAGCTTTAACGATGATCGTCCCTTCAACTTTGACTAGAATACTACTCGACTTTCTTGAGTGAGCCGGATTAAACTTCACTCAAGGTCAGTTGAATGACTCTGATTTCCCTTCACACTTGTGTGAACCCGCACTTTGCTTGACCTTGTCGTTTTGAATGTTCAAAAGAAAAGGTAGAGGAAAGTTGTGCGAGTCATGCATGTGAATGAAAAAGTCTGACTTAAATATGAGATTGTATTGTTTTATTTTGAACTTGTTTTCTTTGCATGTTGTGTAGGTAGGTAGAAGGATGCTTGCTATGGAGATTGACATTGCCTATTTGGGATGGAGAAAAAAGATTGTGATGTTCTATCTTTCACTTGCCTACATGACAAAAGTACTTGAATTATGAAATGAGCAATTTCAACGGGTGCCATGAAAGAAAACTTGTGAATAAAATGAAAATGCAGTCAATTGGACTTAGCATTTTCCCAGGATTGACACATTTTATTTTGAATGATCTTGTATATCTATACCTGTCAAAGTGATTTTCGTTCTCTATCTCATTCAATTTCTTACGTCTAAGTTACCATGAACCGAGAAGGGATGAGAATAATTGAAAACTACGTGCGGTGAACACATTCTCTTTTCTCTAGGAAGCATCCAAAGCGGGGGTTCGTATGCTTTCGGAGCCGGCCCTGATATCGACTTGGAGTGGAACCGACTCGTCGGGGGTGGTACTTTGCCGACTCGGTGGTGACGGCCCAACCTCTGAGATCCGGGTCTGCGGGCCCGGGCGAGGGGAAGGAGTATCCACAGACCACTTCCTAGAGGAAGAGGCATGCAACACGTCAAACAATGCCCCTGGTCAAGAATCATCCGCGAAGCAACCTGTCATCCAGGAAGATTGAGAATGTATGGAGACAGGCGTATGCGTGCTTAATCATAGGTCGGCCTTAGTAGGAATGAATAACTTTGGCAGCATGTCTCATCAAGTCAAAACCAAGGCAGTCCGATTATCTTGTCGACTGCATCAATGTTATTATCGATAGTCGACTTCTCGTTGGCAATTGTATGGTTGTTTTTATGGAATTCGGCCCGAGGTGGTCGGATTGTTTTTGATATCGTGTTGTTGGACATACCATATGATGATTCTGATTCTTTCAGTTATCATTTCAGATTGGGCATGTTCCTGTCGACCACGACCGACTCTCTTTGGTGAAATTATGTGTGTTGTTATAACTTTCTTTTGGTTGGGTGTTAGAGGGACTAGGATAAATGTTAGGTTTCACGCTTGGTTGAGACCGTCCTAGTCGACCGACGTTTGTACCGTACCTAGGAGATCAGCGTCCTAAGGAATGGACGGCGTTCGGGTCCATTTGGCGTTAGCCAACGTATCCATACTACAGCAACGAGCAAACGCCCTTGGCTGACCTACCTCTGCAATTGCATCTAAAAGCTTTCGCACGTAGGTCGGTAGCTCGGTAGGGATACACCCCTAAGGGTGGTGACAGCCCCTTAGGGAAGGAAGCTTATGCCCCGCGGAAACCTATCCTGTCGTAGGGGACCGCGGGATGTATTGCTGGCGCACCCGTCCAGAGTGGCGAGGGACGATGCGACCGCGCACCGTCTCGGCGGCTCGCGGAATTATTTATGCGTCGTTCCCGAGTTGTCTCTGATTTTGTTTTGTTTATCTCCTGCGTGACATGGCCGGGAGGGCTCTTGCCTTTGCGAAAAAGGCGGAAGCCGATGCGCTCGACATCGCTGTCCTCACTAGCTTTGCTGCAGATACTATCTATGATTTGAGACCCTATGTGAGGAAGGGCAAAGAGACCCATGAGCACTTCGACTCAGTCTGGGTTTCGGCAACCAGGTACCTTGAAGAGAGAGAGAAGGAGCTTGATGAGGATGGAACGAAGCTGATCCGCAGCTTCGGACCAAAACTCTACTCAGACTATCCCAGGCCTCCAGTTCCCTTCATTCTCACTGACGGCCCTTTTTGGGGCAATCTAGTGGGTCTGGCAAAGAGATACATTTCACCTGCAGCGATCGACTACAAGTCAGTGATCGAGTCTTCCGAGTTTCCACATCTCAGACGAGGGATCTTCTCTCAGCCGTATCTTCCTACTCTATGAGAGAAGTTTTGTGCTATGGTTGATTTTCGCACCATGCGATTCAGATGGAAGTGTTCAGAACTCGCAGGTTACAGGTGGCTTTATATTCAGAAGACACAACCTCAGAGAGTACGTAGACATGGTTCAAAGCACGAGAAACGAGCAGTCAAATGAGAGATTGAGTGTGAGAATCCAGAGGGATGAGTGAGGACTCTTGAGGGGTGCTGACTATGTCTGCTCATCTGTACTTTCCGAGACTATTATAAGTTCTCACTTTTCCCTCATTCATCTTGTCTTTGCAAGCCCCAGTTTACAGATGGCTCCAATCTATTGGTGGGGAGCGTCACCTGCTGGAAACCGGGTCCAACGTCCCACTGACAAGATCGGAGACAATATACCTGACAGATCAGCATTGATTGCCCTCTCACGAGGGGATTGACTGTCCGCCCATTTATTAGTCAGGTCACAGCATGAATCTAGGTCTAGCCATGGGGAGGGTGACAAACTGTCCTCCAATCTACCCTAATCCTTCACAGTCATAACCGATGTCGAGCGCATCGGTCCGGCACCGCACGGGGCAGCGCGGGACCCTCCCGGCCGCGTCACGCAGGAGTTGGTCTAAATCCTCGTCGCGAATATACATTGAGCTTCCGCAAGCCGTTCCGGCCGAGTGCGCCAGCCATACCTCTCGCAAGCCCCTACGACAATATTCTCCATACACTTATGACTTTAGCTTGGGGATTGGTCTGTTTTGTGTTACAGGTCTTCTTGATTGATTGATTCATGATTTGGGCTAGATTCAGGTTGATCCTGCGAGGATCGTCTTCTGTTATCACTGATAACAGGTCGGTTGCCGATTCATCGGTTTACGACTCAACTCCAATCCACTCTTGCCACTCAACCTAAAGACTTTAGCTTTGTGATTTGAATTGTTTTGTTGTGTTTTCACCCGGACTTTATTTGAATGGTCATTTAAAGAAAAGTACTTAGTATTTTATTTCGAGGAGTTGCACAAGAGTGAGGCTTGTATGGCTAAAAGCAAGGGGTGTGAGTGCAGAGAATGGTTGAAGTTGACCCCGTGCAGTGCATGGACTTTTTGGTTGGATCTTTGATGTGATTGCAGGTATGTTTGGTGATTCGGACTTTGGATTTGACTTCTTGCGCTCACATGCATGTATATATATGGCTGAGAAGAGCCCCACTGCGATTGTGAGAAGTGATCGTCACATATTTATAACCCTGTATATGTATATATGTAAATACATATGTCTTGAGTGTTTCGCGCGACCTATTGTGACCACGCGTAAAGGGTAAACAAATCGTGTGTTTGAAAGAAGAGGGAGATCCCCTGTTATCCTTTGCTTTTTAAAATTTTATAGTTGGACGTTGTAGTCCGTAACAGCCGTCAAAGTCAAACCCCTTGACTTATCTCCAAGACCTAGATGATGGAGCTGGTCTCCAGGGCCACAAAAGATGATCGCCACCACAGGTATGAACCTGTGTACCACCCACTCTCCGTAGGGTGCAGAAGAGGGTGTGGTTTTCAACCGCACTTGGCGGTTGTCCAGCGTCGAGAGATTAACCCTCAAGGCGCATGTCAGCCGACACTTGAGTGTCGAATGCGACCCTCGGGATTAACGAGGACCGCATGAGTATGGGTACTGCATAGTACGCCATCATTGCGATCATTTGTGTACGCATGCATTGCGAGTCGATATGAGTTAGCCCTGCATTCGCGCGGTTTATACTGAGTCTCGCGCGTGACGCCTATTTGATTTCCGCGTTAGAAAGTTATGGGATGGCTACTAAGGGACTAGGAGTGTTGTCGCGTTGTTTGTTCAGTGTCGTTTTGTGTATGTATACGTATGCGTGTGTGTTTTTATTGTGGTGTGCGCGTGGTGTGTGGGATGCATCCTAGTCGACCGATGACGGGTCGCGCTTGGGACTTCAGCCCCCCAAGATGCCGATTCGCGTGCGGGTTCGATAGAGGCGTAATACCACGTGTACCCCCTATGCTACAACGAACGAGAAACGCCCTCGGCTGGTCCACCTCTGTGATTGCAACAGAGCATCGTTCGTACTGTGGACTGGTAACTCGGCGGGGATACGCCCACCGAAGGGAGGTGACAACTCTCGTAAGGTGGAGGTAAGTCGTGCCTCACGTAGGCCCTGTCCTGTCGTAGGGGCTCGCGAGAGGTATGGCTGGCGCACTAGGCCGGAGCGGCTTGCGGAAGCTCCATGTATATTCGCGACGAGGATTTAGACCAACTCCCGCGTGACGCGGTCGGGAGGGTCCCGCGCTGCCCCGTGCGGTGCCGGCCCGATGCGCTCGACACTGCGCATGGCAAACCCTAGGCCCCCTCCGTGCATAAGGTCGCAGCCCAGCTCCATGATTCTCATTTTCCAGCAACGGAGGTCGTTTGTCTACCATTCCTTATCCTGAGTTGTTCACCTGACAAAGATCATTCACACATAATTGTTATTATGAAGCTACTAGCGGAGGTTTGCAACATCCGTGCCATATATCATTATCAATATTATTCTTACGCACTTGCCATGCAGATCCCCTGCCATTTCACCAACCCGAGTTATGTCTATCCCTTATTGATTATCCTATCTCCTCCCCCTATCCAGTGACCACCACCCAAACGACAAACCAACCTCTCGCCCATCCCCATCATACCACCCACCCAGTGCCAATCACAAAATATGCCAATCGAGACAGGCAACAGAGAAAAAACAGGGGGAAACCTTAGGTTAAAGAAGACTCCTGACAGGTGATGTTTTGGCAGGAGTGCATTCAAAAAACAACACACATTCAAAACACATGCCAAACCCATCGAATCCAACCCTCCCCACGGTCAACTGCCTGAACCACCCCCGCAATTGTTCCACGTCGCAACTCTGGGGGGGGATGACTGTTGTGCCTGGAGTCAAATCAGGCTTAGCCTTATCGATGATGTCATCGAGAGGCTGTCGTGGTTCGCGTCCCCAGTGTAACCGGTAGGGACTGAACCCTGTTGAGGAGTGGACAGACATGTTATACATGAGTTGTGCCCTAGCCAAGTGAAGATCCCAATCCTGCTGATCTGGAGAGATGACAGGACACAACAATTGGAATAAGACTTGGTTCATCACCTCAGCCTGACCATTGGCTTCAGGATGATGACCACAAGTCATGTCCAATCGTGAGTGCAGGTAATCCTTACAATAGGACTGCCATTCATCGCTGCAAAATCTGGGGTCTCTGTCACTGACTATAGAAGTGGGCGGTCCATGGTGAGTGACCCACCTCTCAGAAAAGGCTGCTCTCACAGCCGGAACCCGAGCTACTTCTGGCAAGGGGATGAATTCTGCGTATTTAGATAACCTGTTCACGCAGACCATAACCTGACGCATGCCACGAGTGGTGGTATTGCCTAAATCTGTGAAATCTATCGCCACGGATTCAGCAGGGCCATCAGGTATGGGTAGGGGTTTGAGCAGTCCCAAAGGAGGTCTACGTTGGACCTTATTCCTTTGGCAGAGCTCACAGGTGTCCACATAACGCAGCATATCACTCCGCATCTCCTTCCAGAAGAAGCGCTGCGACAAGGCTGCATATGACTTTAGGAACCCAAAATGTCCACGGGCATCATGACACTCTGATATCATCAGTGTCCTGAGCCGCTCGTCCTGGGGAATGCACAAGCGTTCCTCCCCTCTGCTGTAAGTGTACAGCAGGTTTGAACTCAGAGCATAGCCTGGTTCAGACTTAGGATCTGCTTGCAGATTCCTGACGATGGGTCTGAAAGTCTCATCCTGAGGCAGTAGACGAGCAATGGTCTGACGGGTCTCCTCTCCAAAGGAGTGAGTGGAGGAGACCAGAGCAAAAGAGTCAGACCTACGAGAGAGGGTGTCTGCTACCTTGTTGTAGCAGCCCTTCTTATGCTTCAGTTCAAAGTCAAACATGTCAATGAACGGAATGTATCGTGCCAGTTTGTCATTTAACTCTCCCTAGGACTTCATCCACTGCAGGGTGGTGTGATCTGAAAAGATCTTGAAGTGCCTTCCCAGGAGAAAGTGCTTCCAATGTTTCAGGGCACAGACAAGAACATATAGCTTTTTCTCGTAGGTAGAGTCCTGGAGCTTTTGAGTCTTGATCTTCTTACTCATGAACTCTACAGGCCGTAGACCATTCCCATCATTTTGCTGAAGAACTGCCCCAATGCCATACTGACTAGCGTCAGTGGTCAGGATGAATAATAGGGTGGGGTCAGGCAACTTCAGCACAGGTGCACGAGTCAAGGCCTTCTTGAGTCGTGTGAAGGCTAGCTGATAGGGAAGGGACCAAAGAAAGGGAGTATCTTTCTTTGTTAGGTTGGTCAGGAGTGCACCCACTGCAGAAAAGTTCCTGACAAACTTCCTGTAGTATGAGGCTAGACCCATGAAGGACCTGACATCCCTCACTGTCTGTGGCTGAGGCCACTCCTGAATAGCAGCAATCTTGGCTGCTTCAGGAGCCAGGCCATCTCCAGAGATTACATGACCCAGGTAGATGACAGATGGAACTCCAAAAGAGGACTTCTCCCTGTTGATCTTGTACTGGGTGTCACGTAACGACTGAAGGATAAGAGCCAAGTGCTCCGCATGTTCCCTGGCAGTCCGGTTGAATACCAGGATGTTATCCAGGTAGACAACCATAAACTTGTCCAGGTAAGGCCTGAGGATGCGGTGCATCTCTGTCTGGAAGGTGCCTGGGGCGTTGCAGAATCCAAATGGCATGACCAGAAACTCATATGTCCCATACCTGGTCTTGAAGGCTGTCTTATAGACATCCTCCTCTGCCATCTCAATCTGGTGGTAACCAGATTTGAGGTCGACTTTGCTGAACACTGTGCAGCCCTGCACCATGTCCAGGAGGTCATCGATCCTAGGAAGTGGCTCAGTACTCTTCCTAGTGATATTATTGAGACCCCTGTAGTCAATGCACATTCTGAACTCGCCATTCCCTTTAGGCACAAAGAGAACGGGTTTACCGAATTCAGAAGTGCTGGGTCTGATCCAGCCCTTGCTGGTCAGGGTCTCAAGCTGCTTTCCGAGCTCCTCAAGCTCAGCAGGGGACATCCTGTACATGCGGCCCTTGGGAGGGACTGCTCCAGGCAGCAGCTCGATGTGATGCTTGGTTGACCGGTTGGGTAACCCAAAGGGCTCCTGCAACAGATCAGCATACTGATCGACCACCTGCTGTATCTAAGGAGGACAGGAAACAGGGGGAGCATCTGTTTGCTTGACCAAAGTAATAAACAGATGCTCGTGGTGGTACTGGCGTAAGAGAGCATGAAACTCCCTCGCTCTCAGGCAGTAGCACAAAGTTTTAGGGTGATGATCAACAGCAATCATGCATGGCTGATACACCCCCTGACCGTTAGGTAGCTCAACCTTTGGGATCTGCCAGTCGATCCTTGGGTTGACTGCCTTCAGCCACTGCATGGAGAACGCCAAGTCAAAGGGAAGCTCACGGAACATATAGAAGTTCAGACTGTGTCTGACTTCTCCAGCACTATCGAAGGTCACGGGGATACCCTTGACCTTCTCCCTGATGCTCAACACTGTAGAGTCACCAATCCTCACTAGCAGCGGTTGCTGCAGCTGCTGAACTTTCATGCCCAGGTGCAGTTTCTTGACTGCACTGGGAGACATGAAGTTCCTGGTGGCTCCACAGTCCAATAGCCCAGTGATCCTGGTGCGGTTGATCAGGGGCCGAAGCATGATGAGATCAGACTTGCACTTCTTCTGTTCCTTCAGGTGAAGGAAGAAGGCTGCAAGTGACTGAAGCTCATCCTGCCCCGGGTCCTGATCCGGGTCAGGATCCTCATAACAGAAGGATGCTGCCCGCGCAGTCCCTAAACAAACTGAATCTGTCTCAACTGAAACAGTTGCAGATTCACCTACCTGAGTAGATGAAGGTGCAACACTGGGGGGAACTGCAGTCCCCAGGGTCTGTATCAGTTTTTTGAGTGCCTTGGGCCTGGCATGTAAGGGCAGTCCTTCAGGAAGTGTTGTCCCTCACATCTCAGGCAGACCCCTTTCTCCTTCCTTCTTCTCCAGACTCCCTCCTGGATCTTGAGGTCATGCCAGGGGAGTGTGGAGGGATTGAGTGGGTCAGCTGGCATGCGGATGTCTTTGGGCAGGTTAGGGCGCTGGGAAGAGGAAGGCCGACGTCCCTTTTCCTTCCCTTCGGCACTGGCTGAGGCTGTGGTGGGGGAAAATTTCTTCTGCTGCTGCAGAACTCCCAAAACAGCCTGAGTCAGGGCTGCTGCAACATCTGTCTCAGCAGCAGATCCAGTCCCAGCTGAAGGTACATCAGCCTGGGAATCTGAATCTGATCCTGATGCAGACCCCGCATGAGTAAAGGCTACCTTTCCCTTTCTGCCACCTCTAGGGAAGGCACCTTTCCTCCTATCAGAGGATGGGGCCTGGACATGAAGCTTTGCCTCCATGTCCAGGGCTGCGCGGCCAAAGGACCTCCAGTCCTTGTGCCCAACACTGTACAAAACAACAACAAACTTCTCAGGCGCTGCCCTGCAGAAGTTGGTCAGCAAATCATCAGAGGACATGACCAACCCAGGGGTGGAGGTAAGTTGCTCGAACTCAGCAAACAAGGCCTGCAGGGTGGCGCTATATCGCTGTTGTCCCAGGCGAGCAATCCTGTCAGCAGCCTTGCGTGCCCGCTCCTTGTCTGCAAACCGGTCCTCCAGGGCCTGCAGAAGTCTGTCCAACCCAAACCCAAAAGCCCAATCCTCCATTGACTGTTGCAGGCTGCTGGAGGTGGAAGTGGCCCACTTTAATGCAGGTCCCTCCAGCATTCCCAGAACAGTCGCCACCTTGGTCTGTTCTGCACAGACAAAGCCCCTCAAGTAGGCTTTGGTCCCAGCAGCCCAGTCCCCAACATCGGTCTTGGGGTCATCGCCCCTAAACTTGTTGGGAGCAGGGATCTTGGGACCTCTTTGGTCTCCTGCAGTAACAACAGCATAGGTGGCCTTGCCTGAGGCTTTTTGGGAGTGGGATGGTGACCGGGAAGAATGTGCTGAACCAGGGGGAGTGGAAGGACGTGAAGAAGGAGGAGAAGGTTTGGGTTTCAACAGAGGGAGTTGAGGGGCAATCAGCTTGGCGGCTGACAGCTGAGCAGTCAAGTTCTGAATTGCATCCAGAATCTTTGACTGCTGAGTTGCCAGGTCGTCAACCCGCCGCTCCAAACGATCGAAACGATCGTCCCAGTTCGTGAAGTGGGAAATGGTGATCTTGTGCTCCAAGATGATCATCTCTGCCAGGTGCTTGGTCACCTGTGCACAATGGTCATCTGTGAGCACCTTGTCTAGCTGCTGCAACAGATATTCCCGTCTGGAATAATCTGATCCAGCTTCTAGCTCAGCTGCCTCCTAACGTTCCAATTCTGCAAGGCGTTCCTGTTGACGCCGCAGTTGCTCTTGCAACTCCTTCTTTTCCTGCTGAGTAGCAGTCAGAGGTGGAGAAGGAGGAGTGGAGGTTGAAGGCTATTGACCCTCCACCACCATTACAACTTCCACCTGTGGCTGCTCCTGAGCCCCCTGATCAGACATTTCCCTTTTTCAAATAAAATCAAAATAATAAAAGACAGCAAACAGAGTATGCAGCGATACTCAGATTCCTTCAGACACCCTGGAATCGTTGCAATATCTCAACACTGGAATAGGTGGGTGTATAGGCAATCAACGGTTTGGGATGGAAGGGTGTCTCTGGGGTCAGGTGTCAGACAGACTGTAAGTCCAGCAAAATCATGCACACGACTTCCTTTTATTGACCTGCACCACACTCGAGTTAGTAGAGCCACTCTACTACTCTTCCAGAGACACACTAGATTTCCAGAGCCCACTAGAAAACAAGTGTCATCAGTGAGAATGATAGAAGATGGTTAGTACAGACAAGAGAGGTCAACCAAACCAAGCGATTCAGACAGACACCCTGTAACCTAGCTCAGACTCCAATTTTGACCCTGATGACTCTGGCGGCCATACCCTAGGGTATGGCGAAGTACAATATTCACTGTATCCAGTGAGATATTGTAAATCCAATCATGCGATTCTGCAGTATTGCCTATTTTCAACTTGCGAGTCACTGGGGACTGACAAATTTGAATTCTGACGGACAAAATTGAAGTTATGACTCACCCTAATTAGCATAGGCTATAAATAGACTCAGCGCAAAACTGGAATTCACAGTATCACTACCTTTCCAGTGCAGAATTCACTATTTGAGCATCCCATAATAATCGCAATGCAGTAAAGCAGTCACATAACAATTTTGGATTGAAAAGAGTCAACAGAGGGTTAGAAATGAGCAGAGAGCGGTAGGGGGAAGATGAATCGCCATGAAACTCTCGCCAGTATGTTGCTAGATGAAGAAGATGCCTCTGTGCGCTCAACCCTCAGTGTCTCAATTCCAATCCCAGCTCCGATACCAACTGTTATGATCTTGGTTGTCTGACGATTTTTACCGCCACTCACACACAGACAACCTCATACACGCCCATACATGCATAAGAGAAGGGGAGACAGGAGACAGAGTCCCAACTGCACACAGGTGGAAATAGGCAGTGGAAGGCAATCATGCACAGATGGGGAGAAGACACACAATGTTTCTCTCTCTCTGACGAACTCCCAACAACCAATCACAAGAAAGAACCTGCGAAGATCACAATTGAAATTACACTGATGATGAGCCAACTCAACAATTATCGTAACAGAGTTTGTTCCAGTGTCTCGCCACTCTCAGAACTCACACCTCACTCTCTATCCTACACCCAGTTAGTAGTGCCACATCAAAACAGCCTCCCAGAGGCCAGCGCCAACCACCTTGATGAAGAACAGGTCCTGCGATGAAGTCTTCAGTGTAGATGAACAACTCTGACGAAGGAACAGACAACTATGGATGCCACCACCCACGAGTACACAGTGCAGAGCCTCGATGTAGCTCGGCCAGACGCAGATACCCCAAGGGTAGATGCGCTGAGGATGCGCCAGTTATGGCAGACTCAGACTGGGCCGGGTATGGTTGCTGTCAACGGCGAGGTCTCAGGATGCCGCCTGCAGACAGTCACCGCCACCGACTTGCTTGGCTTCTCCAACGCTGCTTCGCGAGAAATGAACCGCCAAAAGTCCTGAACCGATGGGCCTAATTTATCTATAGACTACACTAGACCTAGACCGGACTGACTGACCGACCGGTACCGTTTCTGTTTCGGCCTCTCGGCCTCTACCGGACCCAGCTATAGGCTATAGGACCGTCTATCAGTATAGGCCGCTTAGGGCCTGTCTGTCCTAGGGGTAGCCCGGGCCTGCTATTTGCAGTTACGGTAGTAGTAGGAAATTCAGTTAGTGTTAGGGCTGTATTTTCCCAAATTTGCAGATATGTCCCTCACGAATTTCCTCACAGGTAGGTCTCTCGGTTAGCCCTCAGCCAAACAAAATTGCGAATCTAACCTACCGCTGTACTATACAGCCTCGCAGTTAATCTCGGCAGTTAAAATCAGCAAGTCATTGCATGACCAACCCCTGCGGAATCAAAATAAGCCCTGCTGTCGTCATCATAGTAAGGTAAATCATCACCCATGATATCATTGCCATCATGAGTGTGCTGGGTAGATGACGGAACGATTGTAAAAAAAACTTTCAGAACAAGCGGTAGAACCGCATCACCTACCTGTGCCGAAGTATCGATGTCAGATGATGATGATGATGCCTTGTGATCTTCAGCGGATTGTTGGTGAGAGAGTGAAACGGATGTCAACAAATCTTCCAGAGCAGGCGCCCGGATCGCCGCCCCTACATCTGTCAAATCTCCATTATTCGCTACGACAGACTGAAACTGACTGCCAAACGAAGCCGATACCATGAAATCCTCCCGCAATTCGTCACAATCCTGATCAAATGGCTTCAGTTGCTGGAGGCAGAGTGGAGTATTCGGTGATGTCACTGTTGTAGCTATTGTTGATGTTGTTGATGATGTTGATGTTGTTGATGTTGTCCATGTCACGCTATCTGGTGGACCGCCCACGTGTTTCCTTGCTAGAAGCCCGACAAACATGTCTTTCACCTGCGTCAGCATCCCAGCGCACTCGTGTAGGGCAGTCATCGCCTGTGCTCTGTCATCCTTATCCAGCTGTCAAAGAGAAATCTGCTCATACAGTTCCTCCTCCCACCCAACATATTTCTCCTCTCCCTCCAACAAAATATCATCCGGTAAGTTGCCAAGTTCTAGACTCAGCACCGCGTGCATCTCCTCCAGCTAGCCATTTTTCAAGGTAAGTTCAATTTCTTCGATTGTAATCTTGGTTTTGTCTTGGTCTTACTTCAACATCATTCAGTCTGAATAGTTAGCACAATTCACTATAATTACATATCTTTGATTCTCGACTATATCTTCTAGAAAAATCCTGAGTGCTTCTGAATTCTACTATTATAGCCTAAATTCTGAAGAATTTTTTCGATAGTTAGTTTTTGCTTTCTAAATCTGTATTGTGTATGTGGTGGGAGCTGCCAATTTTTGATTGGCGCAAGGGGCAGCAGAATAATTGCAACAAGCCTTACTGCCGCCCTGCGCCTTCTTCAGCGGGTTAATCTCAAAAGATGCGGGGGGACTTCTCTAGCACCTGGGAATGCGAACGCACCGAGGACCCATTCAGCACCTCTTCACCTTTCTTGTGGCGCCAGATCTACATGACAAAGCCAGTGCTGTGTTTCTTGGGATATGGAGTGTGGATGGATGCTGCTATCCTGTTTGCTGCTTACATAATCTCCTTTCTTGGAGTAAACCCTTAAACCCCTAAACCCTTTGCAAAGAATTTCCAATGCATCTGATACCCTTGCTTATATAATCTCCCCTCAACATCTGATACCCTTGCAGAATCCCTTCCATTTTTCCATCTTGATTTCNATGCATCTGATACCCTTGCTTATATAATCTCCCCTCAACATCTGATACCCTTGCAGAATCCCTTCCATTTTTCCATCTTGATTTCCTCACTCTCTCCCGTACCATTCCATTCCTACCAGGCAGTTTGATGGGGGGGGGGGAAGAAGTCGGGGAATTCTTCGCTAGGTTTCATCGGGATAGCTGTGTCGATCTTTGTCCACTCATGATTGGTTGTCACAAGGCGAAAGTACTTAATGAGGTACATTCCTTCTGACTACAGTGGCTAGATTACCTAACGAGTTACATTCCTTCTGATTACGGTGGATTCCGTGATATGCGATCTTTATGCATGCTAAAAAATGGGTTGATACCCAAGTTTTCTAAAAGAGGCAAAAAAGAAAAAGTCTTCGGAGGTTGGAGAAGGAGAGTGACGGTCCAAGCCCAAGGATACAGAGTGGGGATTGAGGATTAAAAAGGGTTGGTAGCCTTCTGAGAAAAGGGCTGGAGGACCAGAAGACGAGACGAGATGACAAGGCAACAAAGGCGAGGGGGTGCTCTCTCTCTAGGTTAAACGGTTACATCTGGCAGATCTAGAAATCAGGTCTGAGAGGAGAGAGGAGGGAAGGGCAAGCTGACAGTCAATCCTCCACCATGGTGGAGCAATCAATGCTGTTCAGGGGTCCTTCGGCCAGACGGAAGGAAGCGTATGTGTTCCTTATGTTGTATTCTTTCATTCTGACTTGCCGGTGGAATAGGAACCGGACTGACGCTCCCCAGAATGGAAATGGAGCCAGGGCCATAAGGACCTGTTTTTAAAAAAAAAAGAAAAAAAAAAAGAAAGAAAAAGTTTTCGGAAAGATGACCTTGGGATACCATCTTTACACTCGATTGATTTTTGGTACAACTGTGACCACCAAAGCATGCATAATTTGTGGCCTCTCATTCATGTAAGGTTGGGTTTACTCGTACAAGTGGAGGGCAGCCGTGATGGTGCAGCAGCACAAAAAAGGGAAAAAGGTAGAAAGATGTTATGAACTTGGTTGTCTGTCGATTTTCACCAACACTCACACACAGACAATCTCACACACGCTCATACATGCATAAGAGTACACACTGCACACACAGACAGAGTAAGCAGCGGAAAAACACTATGCATAGGTGTGGAGATAACACGAAGTGTTTCCCACTCTCTGTCGGTACTACTCCCAACAACCAATCACAAGTAGACACCTGCGAGGATACCAAAGGAACAATCTGAGATTGAGCCGATCTGAACCAATACCGTTACAGAGTTTGTCTCAGTGTTTCGCCACTCACAGAACCACACACTCCACTCCCTATACTACACCCAGTTAGTAGCGCCACATCACAGCAGCCTCCCAGAGGCCTGCGCCAACCACCCAGATGAAGAACAGGAACTGCGATGTAATCCTCAGTGCCGATGAGCAACTCTGACGAAGAAAGCTGCAGCTATGGCTGCAGCGCCACTGTAGATGCCACACATGATCTCCGGGGAGGATGCAGCAACAGTGGTCCACCCACGAATACCATGTAGAGCCTCAGAATAGCCCAGCCGCTCGCAAGCATCCCCAGGGGTGGATGCTCAGAGGACGCCCCAGCTATGGCGAGCTCCAGAAGGCTGGCTATGGCTGCCGTCCATGACGAAGGTCTCAGGATGCCGCCTGTAGGCAATCGTCTCCACTTTACTTGCTTGGCTCAGAACGCTGTCACGAGAAAAATGAAAACCGCCAAAAGTCCTCACCCTAGCGACCTAGATCTATTAATAGACTAACCTAGACCTAGACACGGACTGGACCGACCGGTACCGTTTCAGTTTGGGCCTCTAGGCCTCTACCTACCCGGCTATAGGCTCTCATGCTATGGGCCTAGGCCCTAGGGCCTCCCGTCCTAGTGATAGCCCGGGCCTGCTATTCGCAGTGCGGTCTAAGGGAACTGCGGGCCTGAAATTTTCCCAAAATTGCAGATATGTCCCTCACGAATTTCCCTCAGCACTGAACTCTCGGTTAGTTCCTGACACAAACAACATTACGAATCTAACCCTACCGCTGTTACTGTACAGCCTCGCAGTCAGATCTCAGCAGTCAAAATCAGCAAGTCATTGCAAAGAGATGGGGAGGGGGGTCCTTGTACCGGGAGGACTTGGACTCATGATGACTTGCTTAGCTACATGTGCAGAGAGGGGGTCTTGTATGTTTTGAATTCGAACTTATGATCTGTTTCTCAACAGCTGAGCATGAATCCATGAAGGAAAAACACGAAACTGCATTAGGCTGATATCACAGAGACGACTCTTCTATCATTTCAAGATTTGAACTCACTACTGCTGTTCATGAACAGCTACTTGTGTGCATCATTCAGGATTTGAACTCACCTGGTCCCTCGGATACTCTTGCAGCAACAAAAGCATGCACAAGCTCACACAGGTGCGAACCCACACACGAAGGACAAGTGTGAGCTAGTGAGCGTGCACACACAAGAGAGAGAGAGAGAGAGAGAGAGAGAGAGAGAGAGAGAGAGAGAGAGAGAGAGAGAGAGAGAGAGAGAGAGAGAGAGAGAGAGAG